AGATGTAAAAATTATCTTTTAAATTTATTTTTATCCAACATTTTTCTTATTAATCTAAACGCTCTTTTTAGTGGCTCCCAGTATCTGACTTGCTATCCCGATTTCATTTTATTTTATTAAACAGGGAAATTAATAACAACTGGTCTAAATTGAGTAGTTCTACTAAAGAAAAAGTGTGCCTCCCAATTGGTTTTGGTGGAATTGGTAAAGCGACGTTTCGGTTATAGAAGCGGTTTCCATGATGGAAAAGGCATACAGGTTCGATTATGTCGGAGACCCAATCTTTTTTTATCTTAAGACATTTTTATGTTTATACGTTCTTTTTATAGATGCAATTATTTAAGTAAATGTTCTGTTTATAATAAACAGTATTAACAATATTTACCGGCCTGAATTCCGATAAATTTTCATAGAAAATATCCTCCGACAGGAATCGAACCTGTATCCTATACGGAATCGTCATATAGCCTGACGTGCTTTTACCGATTGAAATCAACAGAGGAGCGTTTTCGGTTATAAATATTCAGGTCGATTTTACTGTTTTAAAACCTTGAAATTTCCATGATATTCTCTCATATATTTATATCTCCTCGATGCGTATCCAAATGTAAAACATTTTTTATGTTTATACGTTCTTTTTATAGATAAAAAATGTCTTAAAATAATTGTCGGACATTGTCCATTTCATAATGTGTGACGTCATTTGTTTATATTTGGATACGCATCGAAGAGATATGAATTCTATGAGAAAATCATTTCAACTGTGTTTAAAAATTATTTTTCTATTTAAATTTCGTGTTTTTTTCTATGAAAAAAAAATTCATTCAGTCCGATAAATGTTTTAATAATACTGTTTATTATAAACAGAACATTTACTTAAATATTTGTATCGATAAAATGAACGTATAAACATAAAAATGTCTTAAAATAATTGTCGAACTTTGTCCAATCCATAAACTTTTTTTATTAGGATTTTTCAATTGAGACCGGTTGCTATTAATTTTACTGTTTAATAAAATAAAATCAGGGACAGCAACTCAAATACTTGTGCCCACTAAAATAACGTTTACACACACACATATATATATTAAGAAATGGACAAGGTCCGACAATTTATTTATTAAAGACATATTTTATGTTTAACGTTGTTATTTTATAGATACAAGTATTTAAGCAAATGCTCTGTTTATGAAAAACAGTATTAAATAACATTTACCGGCCTGAATGTCCGAGAAATTTTCATAGAAAATTTTCGTTCTTTGACAGGATTCGAACCTGCATCCTATACGGAACCGTCATATACGCTGACGTGCCTTACCGCTTAGGCTACAAAGAAGCGTTCGGTAGACAAGGTCGAATTTACTGCTTATAAACTCCAATTTTCCATGAATCTCGTACATTCATAACTGCTCTGGCGTATCGAATGTAAACAAATGACGTCATATATTAAGAAATGGACAAGGTAAGGCACGTCAGCGTATATGACGGTTCCGTATAGGATGCAGGTTCGAATCCTGTCAAAGAACGAAAATTTTCTATGAAAACTTCTCGGACATTCAGGCCGGTAAATGTTATTTAATACTGTTTATCATAAACAGAGCATTTGCTTAAATACTTGTATCTATAAAATAACAACGTTAAACATAAAATATGTTTTAATATATATATATATATATATATATATATATATATATATATATATATATATATATATAGGATTGGTGTATACGAATAAATTCCATTAACCCAAAACACTATTCTTAAAAGAGTGCTCAATGCAGAGTAGAGCACATATAATTTATTCGAAAATTATAACAAATATTTTATAAAATCACTACAAAAATAGCCATATTGTTTCAACACTCCTGTGTCTTATCAAGTGATGGCGTTGAATGCCAACATAATGTGTTCATATGCAGATACATAAAATAAGCAAATACGATTTCTTTTTGTTAACTCTTTTTTCATTTTGTTTTGTTTCTTTAATTTTCTCGCGTTTGCTATGTTTGATCTCTTTTCGTTACTTGCAGACTATTCCATACAGATTCAGAACTTAGATTACCAGATTTTACAGTTTTCTTTTACGCAGGCCAGAAAGTTGGCCAGAAAGTTCTGACTCACTTAGGAAGCGGAAAGAAAACAACAACATTTTATCTAGCAACACCAACATTTATTCTTCAAAATAAAGTCCATCATTTCCGACGATCTTCTGCCAACGATCAGTCAGCATCCGAATGTCTCCCAGATACTAGTCTACTGTATCCAATCTAAAAACTGTAAACAAGCCTCCTTCACTTCATCAAAAGTGTTGGATCACTGGTCACAGAGGAAGTGTGCCGCTGAGTGGAATATAGGCCATAGTCACACGGAGCAGCATTGGGACTGAATGGTGGAAGTGGAAGAATCTAAACACCGTCCATATGTTTGAACTTCTCCTTAGTCAACCTGGCAGTGTATGGCCTCACATTGTCTCGCTGAAACAAAGCTCGACATCAATTGACCAAAGCAAGATACCACTTCTTTAGTTTATCGTACACGTGGTCTAGCTGATGGCAATACTGTTTAGTGTTGATTTTGAGACTGCATAGAACAAGCTCGAAATGCGGCTCTCCTTGGAAATCCCACCAGACAGAGATCAATAATTGGTGTTTTTTTTTCACTTCCTAAGTGAGTTAGGACTTTCTGACCAACCTAATATTTCGATTTTGTTTGTTTTTTTGCTGTTTTTTGTTTTTGTTTTTTTTTTTTATTTTGGGGGGGTTGTTTTTTTTATTTTGTTTTGTTTTTTGCTTCTTGTTTGCTTTTCAAAATGACGAGTATTTAATTTCAACGACAAATGGCAGTAACACGTGATTATAACAATATAACTCCTCAGTGTAGCTTATTTATATTCCACTTGAAATAAACCTGTCCTGTTTGCACTGATGTTTATGAACAAGATTTTTTTTAATCCAGCAAAATATAAATAATGCAAATAACATATGTATTGTTTCTTTACTGATTTGTTTCAAATTCTTCCTTTCGTCTAGGTGGAGAAATGATTGACCATTTTTGGTTGAACCAAACATCGGGAGGACTCTACATCCAGAAGAGTATCGACAGAGAGAAACATGGCTTTATAAATCTCCTGATTAATGCGACAAACACCTGCTTCCAGCGAAGCTTGAAAGGAAGAGCACTTTATCCTGAAGATTTCTACAAGCGAGAAATCACACATAGTTCCTATCTCTGGGTTCAAGTAGTTATTACAGATATTAACGATAATCCACCTAAATTTCGACGGAAGCACATGAGTGTAGGTGTCACCAGGGATACTGACTTCGGAACAACGATCTTTGAACTTCAGGTATCAAAATTATCATTACCATCATCATTATTATTATTACATCTGTACTTTCATTTCATAGAAGTAAGGATAGTGAGGCAACTTAAAATAACAACCAAAAATCAGTTTAAATTTCTGTGATATATAATGAGAAAAAAAGGTATGGAGAATTCAACACTCACGGGACATTGAATAAAGGAAGCAGGAGAAAACTACTAAAGGAATTTGTGTGAATGGATAACAGAACAAGAACAAAGAAGGGAATAATGACTAAAAATTTTATTAGTGCAACAAAAGGGAGGAAGCTGTAGAGAGCCATGATCTGCCCCATCATAAAAAAAAACTTGGCATATAAAATATGTGATTTCATGGCATAAGAATCACAAAAAGTGGTGGTAACGAGTAAAAAATGATTAGAACAACAAAAGACAGTAAGTTGTAAAATTAAGAATTAAGCAAATACGGAGATAGTGAAAATCCAACGTTACTTAAAGCAACAAAGGATAGGACGTTGTGGAGAACCATTATCTCCCACGTCCTGAAGTGACAATGCATAGAAAATAGCTCAATACTGCAGCATGTATACTCGTTTAGTTTCTATATCAGACGTTTCTAATGACTTCTGCTGAAGATCAAGTGACAACATGTCTCCTTCATGTTCCAGTAAATTTCTTCTCATTAAACTTAGTAATGCATTCATATGGATAGACTTATCTTCCCCAAGTTTTCAATTCTTTCAACTTACTTTCTCACTTTTAATTATTTATCCAGCGTAGAAGTGCAAATAAAAATGCTTTCAGACATCTGTCAACATGATGAAATATTCGTCCTTGTATATCTGATTGGTTTCTTGTACCTTCTGCTTCCGTTTGTTTGATTTTTTTTTATTTATTAACTTTGCTTTTTTGTCTGGTTTTAGTACGAGGTCGATGATCCCGATATTGGTAACAACTCAGTCCATGCATTCCAACAAATTGGGGCAATCCGTATCAGTGAGAGTCTCCGATCGATGATGACCCGTGACCCCGTCTCAAACAGAACTCGGCAGCCCTTCATCGTTAGCAGCAACGGATCAGTCATAACCAACATGTTCTTCCAACCGAACATGCATGGATCATTCGTGCTGCCTATTCTCGTAACAGACGGAGTACACAGTTCTGACACTGCTAACTTAACTGTGAGTAAAGCTTTAATTAATAGTTTTCAAGTTTATCTAGATTTCAATGTTCCAACTCTAACTTGGAAATTTCATTGGATTTGTAACGTTTGGAAATTAAGCAGATGAATTAAAAAAAATTATCTTTTTTTTTTTCCTGATTGGATCAACAGAAGACATTACAATCACCGTAAAGAATATACTTTCTTTAAAAATGCCGAATTAGGATGTACTGGGTTTTGGTTGATTTGTTTATTTTACGGCTTATCAACCTTCTGCAGATATTAGTTTAGAGTCAGCAGATATTTTTGGATTGTAAAAAATTTTTGGATTACTTTATATAATTTTTTGGATTACATTATAGTTACTTTGTTTTGTTTCCTTTTTTTTTTTCTCGCTCCATTTCATATATTTTTACTTTCTTTTTCAGATAAATTTTGTCAGTGATAGCCAGAGATTAAAAGTCATCTTTCGGAGACCTCCGTTAGAAGTACAAAAAATTAAAGAAAAATTTCTAGAGTAAGTTTAATTCCCACCGTTTTCATTTTGGAGATATTCTTTGCTTTTTTTTTTTCTGTTTTCTTTCGAATTAGCAACTATTTTTCTGACTGACATAATGTTAAAAAGTTGCGCCATTTTTCTTTCGCTGAAGAGAATTTGTCTTGAAAATCATATTCAAAATTCTAAAATTTAACCAGGTTCGTACAGCACTCGATTACTGTGAACGTAAAAAATTATATAATTATCATTACTATCTACCAAGGCTGTTCTTTTAGCCCAAATATATTCGTCAAGCAGAGAAGTGGATTTTCACTGTGTCTGGAATATCAATAGCTTTATCCTGAGATTTTCACAGAAATAAAATTGGTGGAGCTTCTACTGATTATTTACTGTTATTTCATTACTATTAGACTGAACAGTTTTCGTTTTCTCTTCAATATTTTGTCGCTTCAGAACATAAGAAAACAATGCTATCCACAGCGTCTTTTTATTTAATAACTGTACATTGTTCTTGGGTAAAGATATTGGAGTGGTTTCCGGTTGCATTCTCTTCGATTTTCAATTCAAATTTCTCCTTTTCTTATACTGGTTCCTAAGTCGAGGGAGCCAGTTTGTTCAGCTATTTAAACTATAGACAGGGTGCAGAAATGTGGACCCATGTTTTTAACAAAATCACCGAACTTAAGGAAATTTGAGCCACGTCGGTACCTAGATGGGATTATCAGGTTCTGTAAGCTTGGATGTGTGGGTGGTGTTTTGGACTTGAAATGAGAAATCGGAGTATCAAATTCGAATCCCAGTCGTGTTGATTACATGGGTTAAATAGCAGGAGGGATTTGGTCTTATAGCCTTGGTTGGCACACAGTCTACTGCAAGAAATAATGGTAGCCAACTGCAGGAATCCTTTTTCCAAGTCAGTTTTGAATCGAAAAGAGCTAGGATTGCCCAAGCGTGCCTCACGCATGGTCCCTAAAGAAGAAAGGTTCTAAATTATAAGCATTTATTAATTTTCGCTTAGTCTGGTACAAGATCACATTCAACTAATTATCCACTACTAGACAAGTTTTCTTTCATTCTTCCATGACGAGGCCCACAAATATTCACTAAGCTTAGTAATACAAAATAAATTACAAATGTATGACACCAAGTGATTGAATTCGCTACCATAATAATGGCTTAGTAAAAAGTGAGGACCGTATTCACTACACACGTTTAATGGTCTTCTAAGCTGGTTCGCTACTCACTATTTCAATGCGTGGCGTCCAACATCTCATCTCAAATAAAAGTTGTCAGAATTTGATTGGAAAACTGGTTGCAGTAAGAATAGAACTGGAAGCAGTGGAACTTTTACAAGAATATAAAGATTAAGTTTGAATCTGTTTTAACTCAAAGCCAACACATTTATACAAACTGATTTTTCTTATTATCCTCGTCTGTTTAGAAAATGGTTGTTAACAAAAGGATGAGTCCAAAATACAAATTACAAATCGGAGATGTCAAAATCAAACAAGTACAGCAATTTAAATGTCCATATCACATTTCAATCCAAGAATCTTTTCTTCTTTTTTTTATATTTTTCTTGGATACTAAAGGATTTATTCTAAGGTCTAAACGCCTGGACATTCAGTTAACTTGTTATTGAGCGTCTTTAAGTTTGAGATGCCTGCTCGGCCCGGAGGCTATGATCAAAGTGTAGTACGCTGCCTTTGTGAGCTTCCGAGTCGGCGCCTGTAGAACTCTCTGCATTAGCAGAGAGGAACCCGGACAAAGCTTTGCCGAAGGGCAAGGTTTCGTCAGGGGAGGTAGACAGGGCCTGAATCCGTCTAGGCGGGTTCAAAAAGGCTATATTTTTGGCCGAGCCTACGGGCTCGGGGATAGCCACATTAAACCGGCCTTGTGCCACATTCTATCCTCGTGGGTGGATCGATAAATACTGAGCGTCTTTAAGTTTAAAAATTTCCTTTCAAAAATTCTATATGACGTAAGAATCTAACGCCTAAATATTTTCAATTTTTTTCTGAAAAAGCAAGTATTTATTTGAACAAAGTATCTATAAACAAAAACAAAATGTTTTCGTTTTTTGTTTTTTTACACCAAATTTCCAGTTCATATCTTTTTTTTTCTTTTTAACATCTTCAAGGGTGTTTTCTTCCAGTTGACTCTAGGATAGGCAACCGCATCTTTACATTTGTCAAATTCTTGATATTTGAGCAGATCTCTTTTACTACCTTGCTTTGCAGTACGGACGTGTCTTTATATTAAGGTCTGGTCGATCCGGATGTACTGTCATCATGGCAACCGTTTATTCCAGCTATTTGGGACATTAGCGCCTTGGGTGAGGGCTTGTCGGATTTAGAATTCTCGAAAGATGCATGATAAGACCAGGCTTATTCTTCCTGGTTAATACATGCTGGCATCTATCGTTCTTTTAACGGAGCTATTTCTTGTCACTGAAGTTAAAAGAGAAGATTTTTTTCTCTTTTTTTTTCTTCTTCCTAATAAAGAACAATTTTCTTTAAAATCAGTTTTGTTGTCTGTCTACAAAAATCGTCTCAATTTAAATATCTGGGAAGTGTTTGAACAGAGGACGAAAAGTAAGACACGGGAATCCGAAGGTGCATTGCGATAGCGAAAGATGCCTTTCAAAAGCTAAGCAACGTATTAAGAAACAAGAAAATTTAATTAAAAACAAAGTGTACTGTTTTTTTTGTTTTTTTTTGTGTGTGTGTGTGTGTAATATCAGTCCTTCTATGTGATAATAAATGCTCAACAATCTCACGGAGGAAGACGAGACTTGAAGCAACAGAAATATGATTCTACAGAAGGATGCTAAGAATAACATGGACTAAACATGTGAGCAACAACGAAGTTTTAGAGAAAATGCACACAAAAAGACACTTATACTTAACATCAGAAAAAATACAGTTGAAATAGGAAAGAGGCCTTAGAAAGTGTGATACTCACAGGACAGACTGAAGCCGGCATGAAAACATCAGATAAACTACCTAGCGGGCTAATGGATGGCAGAATAGGGTCTGGAAGAGATAAAAAAAATGTCTAAAATTATTAATAGCTGCAAAGAACATGAAAATGTGGAGAGCCATGACTACCAACGCCTTGATGGGAGACAGCCCACAGACGAAGATGTTCTATAAAACAGCGGCTTTATAAATTTATTCTTTCCGCTGAGCCCATCTTTTTATATTTTTCATGTTTCTATCACAACATAAAGTCTACTTCAGAGACAAATAATTAAAATGGCTTTAATCGATGGGAGATTAACTGACACCGCTGAAGAGTAAGAAATTTTAAAGAAGCGGTAAGTATCTATTTGTCCACGAGATGTGTAAGGCAGACCAGACGAATTTCACTGCGATATGACTTTCTATTCTCAACACTGGAAAAAAATGGAAACAACTCACACCTATAAAATAAATTGTGTTCCCGTGTGGCTCAAAATGGTATCGTATGTGTGCCTCGCGTTGCTAGGAATGAACCGAACTGGTCATTATTTTAGCTATCATTTTCTCTGGCTCTTATCTATTTCCCTAAAAACATAAAATAAGTTCTTTTCTCATTCATTTTCCTCCTGTAAGCGGATTTTTATATTTTTTTTATAATAGATTAGTCAAAACGTTCAATAGTAGGCCATGGTCATAAGCTTTGCTGTTAGAATCACCTCCGTTGTTATACTCACAACGTTTCGACTGTTGCACTCTCTGGACTTCTTCAGGTATATATCGTACCTCAATATCTCCTCAAAATCTATGTGGGCAGATTGTTCTCATTCTGCTTTGTATGTTTAGGGGAGATAACTCGTATCAGTTAATTCTCATCAGCTGTATTGACCTTTGTGTTTGAGGCTATAATGGATGTAGCATAACCCAGATGAGCTTGCTGGTCCAAATGGTAAATCAATCAATCAATATTGACATCTATATCTTTTTTTCTTATTTTCTAAACAATCATTATTGACTTAATATACCTGTAAACAATCAATCGATTTTGCCTTATTCAACTGTTGGCCTTATTTTTGTAAACAATCAGTACTGAATTATTCATCTGTTGGCCTTAATCTCTAAACAATCAATATTTTCTAACGCATCTTTTGGCCTTGTTCTGTAAGCAACGAAGCACTATAGATTTATACATCTAGGCGTTACTCTCTAAATAATCAGTCAGTATTGAATTATATATCTGCTGGCTTTATTCTGTAAACAACGCTTTCTGACAACTAACAATCTGCTTATTTTTTAAAGCACAATATACAGATTAATTTTCGAGACTTACTAAAAGAAATTTTGGTGTCTGTCTAAATATGAGATTAAGAATTTTCTTTATCATGCGTCGATCTAGTCGGGCTATTGTCAACGTCTTCTCTGTATTCGGCCATAGATAATGCAAAATGTCACTACCTGATTGTCCTAAAGTGAAATGACCTCGTGAATAAGGGCGTTGGTTAAGTGCATCTGGTTATATCTGGCGATTGTGATTTCAAGTTTCTAGTTCTGTAGACAAAACAGAATGCAGTATCATGAGTACTAATTAATTTGGTATAATTCAATTACAAGAAATATCCCTTAGCAGTGACAGCAGAATTAAAACTATCTTATTCCATAGACTGAATAACAGCTTCTTTTCGAAATTCCCAAGTTACTGAATACAACAGACAGCAGAAGTCTTAAGAGTGCAAAAACTGAAATGTGGTTACTATAGCAACTAAAATAAGATTTTTTTTAAATGTTGTATTCTTTCATGACATTGGCGATGACAACTCTCCACAGATTCCTTTTCTTTATGATCTGTGGATTGCTATTTATTCTTGAGAAATATATATATATATATATATATATATATATATATATATATATAGTGTATTGGTTTCCTGTAGCCTTCTCCATGATTTTAGAAATCGATTTTTTTCTTCTCATAGACTAGTTGACGTCCAAATAAGAAAATCTACTCTGCTATTTAACCAATAGGGGAGGGATGGGTCCATGCCTTTCCAAAAGGCATTT